TTTATCCACCAAGTATTAGTGAATTGAATTTGTTGACAAAAAATTCCACATTTGGATGAATTGGAAATAATTGAAAATTTTAAAAACTAACTAAGGAAGGCTCTAAATATTTACGAGCCCACTAAATATGTTTAAGTTGCCCATAAAATAGTTCGAATTGTTGTTTCAAGTTGAAGTCAAACAGATATCGTGTGTTAGTACTGAAAAATATTTATAGAGACTAGTTCTTAGATACTAAGGCGTATAGTTCGAATAATTTTAATGCTGTTTCATTTATTTCTGTAATCAATGCTTAGCTTAACTTTGTATTCCCCTCCTTAGTTATCGCCTTATATTCTTCAAAGAATTGCCTAATTTTGTACTTCTGTTACTTAAGAGTTGATCTTATTCTTATTTTAAAATATAATTCGATAAACTTATTATTAGTTATGAACAAATTCCTTAACAGCTAAGCACATGTACTTACATACAGCTTAAGGTCCGCACCTTTTTTGCCATATTAGTGGCAGCCACTTGCATACACATACATATTTCTGAATGCGCATTATAAATGCAAATCTTGCTTAGCAAATGCAATCAAATTGCAACACCAATTGTTGCATTGCTGCTGCTTTTCTTGTTGTTTTTGTTGTTGTTGTTTGTATGTATGCGACATTTGTTATGCAAAAATTGTATCCTTTGGTGTTCGCCCTGCCCGCTACTCGCGGAGCCTTTTCTGCGCATTTCAATTAAACATCACACATACGCCATGTGGCACGGGCCAGCAGCGGCGGCAGCTGTTGCAGCTATTCGTTCGTTGGCTGGCTGGCTGGCTGTTGGTACAAAAGCTCGCAACTAAAATCCGCTTAAAACTTATTCAATTAAACTTCAGGCAAATGCGCGAGCCAACAACAAGAACAAAAACCAGTAATACACAGACACAGACATATTCAAGACATATATATGTATGTATATACTATATACATACTTATATATAAAACTATAATGAAAACAAAAAGGAAAGCGGCGAGCTATACAAATGGCATATAAAAATATGCGCATAAAAAGTGTGTGTAAATATAATATTTTTGCTTGGCAATGCAACAAAAAAGCTGGTGGGCGCTGCTGGGAGCTGCGAGCGACAAAAAAGGAGCAGCAGCAATATAAATCAACAGACATGGCAGACAGTTGTAGTCGTCGTCGTCGTAGTCGTCGTCGTCGTTTTCGTTGTCGTTGTCCTTGCTCGCTCGCCCTTTGCTTGCGTTTTTATTTATGCCGCCATTTTGTTTTCATAACGCGCCTGAGACGTGAACATAAACATTGGCATGCTTTTGACCAATCCTCTGGCTATTGTTGTTGTTGCTGCTGCCGTTTGTTTCCTGCTTCGTCTGCCGTCTGCTATTTGCTATTTGTTGTTATTGTTGCCCCTGCTGATGCTGATAATAATCTGCAAATCAGCTTAAAATTTACGAACAAATGTGGTCGCCATTGTGTGTGCGACTACCACTAACCGATCTCGACCGCCGACTGTCCACAACTTTAACTATGCAAATCCACAAATCAAACTTCCAAAGGCTGCACAAGCAACGAAGCTGGCCGAACGGCCAGCAGGCTGCCAACCACCAGACAGACGACTAACCACCCGCTTTCTATGTAACATTCAGTTAAGCATTTTATTTTCATACACGACTACATATATATTTTTCTGCTGCCGCTTGTACAGTCGAGCTCAGCTTTAGAGAGACTGTATTTCCTCCTCTATGATATATCAAAATATCTCTGAACAAAGGGTATTTCGATTTTAACAGTACTTGGTAAGCTTCTAGAGCACTATTTTAATTGCAAGAATACGTTTGTTACTTCGCCGAATATGCGATTAGCTTTCTTTGTTCGCATTTTTGAAATCGTTTTTCCACTGTATGAAAATTTGTATGTACATCCACAAAAGGTGTGTGTGTTTGTGTGTGTGGTACGTGGCCGCAGACATTGCCACAACAAAGCAAATTTAGAGTCGGCATGTGTGTGTGGGTGTTGGCTTTTTGTTTTCGTTACTATGCCGTTTGTTGTCTGCCCGGAAACGTGACTTATTCGAAATTTATGTACTTTTTAGTCAAACGTGGAGTGTGGAAAATAAAACTAGAAAGCATAAACCCATTCAAGTCAGCCAGCAGCAGCAGCAGCATGATGTTTTTGTTTATCTAAAATAAAAACCCCAAAAGCGCGCGAGAAAAAATGTGTGTGTAGAGTAGAGAAGTATTTAGGCAGTAATGTCGAGCGGAGAGAAAAATTCAAATCATGTTTAGTTCGGGCCTTTGGCATGCGGGTTTGTGGGTTTTTCGTTTCATTTTATTTCGTATTTTGTATTTCTATTTGTTGTTTTGTCTTGTTTTAATTTTCTGTACAGGCTTGACATTCTAATGCAGCCGGGCGCTTAATTAGAACCATTTTTGTGCCATACGTGCCTCGCTGGCTGCCTTCGCTGGCAACATGGCGTATGTGTAATATGCAAATGTGCCTGCATTCACAAATTGAAATCAACGAGCTTACAACTTGGTGGGGTTTTTGTGCTTTTTGCCATTTCGCTGCTCGTTTCGTCTCGTTTCGTTTCGCTTCTGTTTTTCGAACAGATGTGCGCCACTTGTCACATACCTCTTACAGACTTGTTGTTGTTGTTGCTGCTATTATTGTTGTTGCTATTGCTGTTGAACATGCATCGATTACATAAACGGGCCAGCGGGCGGTCTTTGTCTCTGTCCATGTCCCTGCACAAGTCACGACATCGCTCTGCCCTGTCAATGCTCATGATTCCACGATTCCATGCCAGCTACCGAGGCTGCCTCTGATGAGGGGCCTTGATGATTTTTCAATTAACCATATGTCTGCATACATCTCTGTGTTTTTGTCTGTATTTCGTGGGCGTGGGAAAGACAAAGCCAACACTACGTTAGTTCAGGTGATTAGTTCAAAAGCATGGAGGCAGCGCCAACTAGAGCATATGCAATGCATCTTATTAGACCAGAACGAACCTATAAGCCAACACAAACACATACGACTACATACTATATATGAATAGCTAGCTCTGCCCTCAAGCCAGATGAGTTTAAATCTTTAAATCATATGGGGTAGAAGGTTAAAGCTGGACTCACGAATATCCTCTATTCAACCTTTTTTCCGCTGCAGTTACGACTTAGGTGAAATGAAAAGAAGTTTGTCGGTGAAGAGATGGGAATATGGAATGTTTAAATCGCGCCAGCTGGACTTATGAATATCATGCATCCAGCCTTGTGCTCGCTGAATTTTTCAACTTAAATAAGCTCTCTTGGATTAATCATTGCCATGGTAGGTATATGATATTAATAAATTATATTGATGGAGTTATTAAGATGAGGTTTTAAAGAGATACTGTGAATACCAAATTTTCTTCCCATATCATAATAAGCATAAAAATAGTCTACAATTGACACTCGATTCTTGATGCTTCACCAAAATTTGCAGTAATAGACTGTTTATGAAACTTCAAAAAAAAAAAAAAATGGTATTGCTAAATGGGTTAGTGGTTCGAGTTCTCTTATTAGAAAAAGAGTAGTTTAAAATTGCAAATTGAAGTTGAACAAAAGTTATTTAAGCTATAAGGTTTAATTCTCCAAACCACGTTCCTTCAAACCATATCGTGTAGCAACTCTGCTAAGAACTGCCTCATTATCTTACATTTACGAATAATATTAGAGAAAAAAGGGTTGACAACTCTGCCAATTTTGGAGAACATACTGTTCATATATTGTGTATGTAGGGAGCTTCAGTACTGTGTGTTTTTTTTGAAGTTGAGTTGAAGGGAGATAATATTGCAATATTCTTCAAAGTAGCAACACATATTTAGTAAATTCAAAGGAAGTAAATAATAATATTAATTGAAATGAAATGAAAATACTTAGAATATAAATAAATGTATCCAGAGCATATGTTTTTTATATAAGTAGAGTAATAAATTGTAATTAATAGTATTCTATTTACTAAACTCAAAGTAGCTGGCATAGCTGTGAAAACATTTAAGCACTTTTCATATTCCTGCTTAGCTATTTATTTAGATTTCTGCTGCCCTTTTGCTCATTTGTGTACTCTTGTCCTATTTATTCAACATCTGTATCAACATCTAGGCATATTAAATTTCATTTCAAATACGAATATCTATCAAGTAAGCCAGCAAATATATTTCACCAATCTACGTTCTGCACACTGCTTATGAGTAAATAAAACATATTCGGTTTCGCAGCTAAATAATAGAGACGGACAGCAACTAAGCATATCACAAATATACACTATACTATATTGCTGGAATTCTATTACAATTGTGGCGATGTCAGACGACAAGCCGTTCCGCTTAATGAAAATCTTTCCCGAACCTGCTAACTTGCCAGACATACAACGCATCGAGAATGAGGCGATGCAGGAATTAAGGCTGCGCCCAACCGTGGAAAAGGAGAAGGAAGCGGTCAGCATGGACCAAAAAAAACTGGAGCTCGAGGTGGAATCTATGAAGCTTGGGAAGCCGCAAGAGCCAGATGTGGTGACTGAGGACGAGTTGAAGTTAATTTAGTTATATAACTATAAGGAGGAAGGGGGAGAGCGAGCGAGCGAGAGAAAGAGAGAGAGAGAGAGAGAGAGAGGGCTGCCTAAAATTTTTGCACGCACACACAAAACGAAGTGGCAATGTTTGACTCTTGATAAATGTGCAGCCAATAAATTCATTTATGCTAAGCACTTGCTTATTATTATAATCCTTGCCGACACACACACACACACTATTACTGCCACTACTGTGTCCTTCGCACACAAAGCATTTAACCCTAATTTGCATTTATGGGCACGTTTTAGTCGCCATATCTACACACTATAGTTTGCCACCTGGCTAGTGGGTTTTAGTTTGTGGGGAGGTTTGTGCTTGGTTTGTGTCTTTGCTAGGCAATAAAACAAATCCGCAAAAAAGTAGTTACACACACATACACAAATACATATAGACTCACCTTAATTAAACGTGATTAAGTAGATTTCCTCGTTTTTCTGCTCGACATGAAAAACGTCGAATGTTTCAATGCCTCAATGCTTGAATGAATGCCTGAATGTTGTCCCCCTCTCTTCTTCTGCTGCTGCTGCTGCATGTGTGTGGCCTGTTTATTGTTGTTGTTGTTGTAGTCGTCGTCGTCATCATCATCATCATCATTGTTGTTGTTGTTGTAATTTAGTTTCATTTGTGCATGAAAATGAATTTGTATTATTGTTTGCATTAATTTGCCTTATTAATTACGTTTATGTTTGGTACGACTATTATGTTTTCTTTCTTTCCCTCACATCTCCCCCTCCACACTCCCCCCTTCTTTCTTTGCAGCCCTATCTGGTGGTAATTTGAGGCTACAATGTGCGCGAGTTATACACGTGTCTTCCTACACTGGAACATAATTCCGACTGCCAACACTGTAATGCCGAAACCAGTCAGAGGGAACTCGGAGTTACAGTGGTGAGGGTGAACAGGGCAGTGTGTGTGTAAATATGTTGAGCGGGAGAGATAAACAAAATAACCTAATAAATAATGTCACGAAAGCCGAATTTACGTGTGTTGTAATTGATGGGAGGCGAGTGTGTGAGCTGGACGGGGCATATCATAACTGGCGCAGCTGGTAGTCCAGGCCAGTGTTTGCGTTTTTTTTGTCTCTACAAGTGCATGCATACATACATTGAGTATATTTCAAAGAGACTAATAATATGAATGCACATCATATAACAACTTTTTGAAGTTTGATCAGTGTAAAATATGTAGTGACAAATCGCCAAGTACAACGGAATATTGTACCCTTGCATGTTATGTACATACATGTACACATATGTATATGTTTTTGCATGTATGTATGTGCATGTATGGATGGATGCGGTGGGCATAAAATTCGCAGCACGTCGAGCTTTACCTCGTTTGGGCCGGGAAACGAATACCTAAAATAAAATGCCTTACCGTTCCAGTATTCATCACAATTGCCGAACATTACAATGCTAGAATAATTAAGTAAACACTAATTACGTATGTAGCAAGTCTTGTGCAGGTTATGTATGCATATACATATATGTGTATATACGTGTATGTATGTCCATGCACATGTCATGCTCATGTAAAGGCATACATACATATGTACGTACAGACAATCACAGGCAACAAAAAGTGCATACATACATTTTAAAAATATGTACATATGTATCTTTAATGCTCTCTCAAGCACTCCCTTACACACTCTCTCACCACACAGCGACCGTTGTGATCGACTGACTCGGAGCTGATCCTGAGCCGATACGGTAACGCTCACATAAAAAGAGTTCATTCCATTGAGTACAAATGGTAAATGGAAGGAATAATTAATGCAGACGGCAAAGTGCAATAAATTAAATTAACAAGGGAAAATCTTGGAGCTGTAACAAACAAATAAATAAACTGATAATAATTATAATTATTCCGATATATATCGAAATACACATATGTAAGTAAGTACAAAAGGCTTAAGCATACTGTTGCATCAGCCGATTTGTTTCACAAATCCGTATACGCATACAAATAAAAAAAAAAAAACGATAATTCTATGGGCAATAAGGGCACATTATTGCATCATTCAATTCGAATTACAAGTGCTTAGTTTTAAAAGTACAGTCTTACAGCAACCGGCATTGAAGGCAGATGTACAGCACACAAGTGAAATAAAGTTGTCAAGTGTTTATTGAAGATTAAAACATTACAAAAAATAAGAGAAAATGAAAAGATATTGATATAGCAATACATAAATAATTTGTGAAACTTCATAATCAGAATAATTTGGGTGACTCATATATACAGATGTAAGTAAATGTACATATGTATGTATACATATGCATGAAGTACACTATTCCAATGCTTATTGCGAATTATAATATTACAGTTCACAAATATGTTCACATGCCAATGTATTATTAATGCATAATACGCATATACAGGTTATGAAATGCTACAATAACAACAATTTTTCTGCAACGTATGTAAGTACACTATACATACATATATTCTAAGAAGTACGCAGTACCAATTAACGGTAAAAGTACACAGGTTCAGTTCATAAATACATATATACAAGTATGTATATCCATATGCCGCTGTAAAACACCACGCCGACAACGATTTTATGGACACATACATATGTGAGTATTGAATTCATACATACATACACTTGCGAAACACGCAGTTAACGGCGAAAATAAAAATTAAAAAAAAAAACCCAAGAGAACTTTTTAAGAAAGGAGTGTACATAGATAAAGGAATATTATCGCATTCTCCTTGCTGTCAGCAATTGACAACAACATGAGCACATTATTTATTTATTACTTTAATTCACATTCTAATACGAATTTAATTTTCAACTTGTAGTTCTTCACCTACCGTCCATCGTATTTCACCATAGGAATTCTACATATTTTGAATTGCAGCGTTTATATTTTGTCGACCGATACGTCCGCATTCCTGCTTAAGCTACACAACACACTGCTTGGATTCCGCCACATATTCATAGAATGATACATACATGTATGTACGCCCATGGTATCTCCGCATTCTAATATACCTTATGTATGTATACCTAATTATAACTCCCCATAAATTGTCATTAAGGACTAAAAATTAAGCTAAAATTGTACATCAAAATGGCTAAGAGAAGAAATAATACCAGTGCGAATCCAATAGTTGAGTCAGTTTCCGATAATATTAACGACTCATTACTGAGCTCCAATACACTACCATCACTTCAGATACCAGATGCTATCAAACAACTTCCGACTTATGAAGGAAATCCACGCCTCCTTTATGAGTTCATTAGTAATGTTGAAGAAATACTTCTAATAATAGGAGAAATAGATGAAACATCAAGCAGTAAAATACTTTTACGAGCCATTCGCAATAAAATAATAGGTCAAGCGAATGAAGTGCTTAATATGTACGGTACCCCATTAAACTGGGGTGAGATTAAAAATAATTTAATTTTACATTATGCCGACAAAAGAACAGAGACTTCACTTATTATGGATTTGCACAATTTACGCCAAGAAAGAAAATCTGTCGAGCAGTTTTATAGTGAAATAATAGAAATACAGTCAGCCTTATGCAACAATATTTTAATTCATGAAACCGAACAAAATGTTGTTCTTGCTAAAAAAAAGTTGTATTCAGAAATGTGTTTAAACATATTTTTAACTGGCTTAAGAGACCCTTTGGGAGTCACAGTTAGAGCCATGCGTCCAAAGACTATGGCATCTGCTCTAGACTGCTGCATTAAGGAGCAGAACATTTATTATCAGAGACGGAATGAAAACAATAATAATAAATACAAGTATAGCAACAATAGCCTAACTTACAAAAGAAATTATACTCCATATAACCAACATTCAAACATAAGAAATTACGAACAACAAACTTCTCCAAGTAATATACCACTATTCAGAAACAATTCTAACTTGAGAGCAACTACTACTGTAAATACTTACGACAACAGACCAAACCGACGATATAACTCTAAATACCAAACTGTACCTCCTCAATCCGACCCTTCATATAGCACTGATAGTAACCCTTTAAAACCTAAGTTTTTTAATAATCAAATCTCAAATTCTTTTACTGATTTAAAAAACTTGGGTAACTACACTCAAAATCCAATTACTTCCGCATTAAGCCCGCAACCCACTGCAAAAATTCATAACCTAACTAATATTGAAGATCAAGAAAATTTTCAGAAATTAGCCTCAATACACAGACCGGATACTTAAGTACGTTTGGAAAAGAACTTAACTATATCTTAATTGCGTCCTTTTTTAAACACCCACTTAAATTCCTAATTGACACGGGAGCAACATCTTCATTTATTTCCCCAGAAGCTATAGACCCTAAATCTGTTTATCAAGGAAAAGAAATAGTAATTAAAACTGTTTTAAATAGCTATACAATCGACAAATTTACCGTATTGCCCATATTTAAAGAATTCAATCAACCAGGGAATTTTAAATTTGTCTTGTTCAACTTTCATAGTTATTTCGATGGATTACTGGGAATGGACTTTCTATGCCAAGTAGGAGCTAAGCTTGACCTTGTTAATGGTATTTTGGAAACTTACCATTCGAAAGTTAGACTCCTACAAAAGCCAAACACAACATCTGAAAGAATTGTTATACCACCAATGAGCAAAATCTTAGTAAATCTTCCTGTCGACATAGAAGTAGGTGACTTTTACTTGGACTCAACAATAATAAATAAATCATTAATTCTTTCTGAAGGGATATACAAAGCAAATCAATGGTCAGCAACTATTGAAGTAACCAACCCAAATAGTAGTGAGCAGTATATTTTCCTAGAGCAACCTTTAAAAGTCAGACACTACAACTCTTTAGAATACGTGGAAATAAATTTGTTAGAAGAACAATCAAAAATTATTAATAATAGCCCAGACCTTGCATTATCAATAAAAACTAACCATTTAAATAGTGAGGAAAAGGATGTATTGCTTAAGCTGTGCTCGAACTATAAAGATATATTTTTCAAGGATAATAGCTTACTTACATTCTCAAGCAAAATTAAACATTCAATTCACACGGTAAATGAGATTCCAACTCATACGAAATCTTATAGGTACCCATATATGCATAAAGAAGTAGTACAAATGGAAATAACAGAATTATTAAATCAAGGTATAATTAGACCTAGTTTTTCTCCTTGGAGTTCGCCAATATGGATCGTGCCCAAGAAAAGTGAAAACAGAACAGAAAACAAATGGAGGCTCGTTATAGATTTTAGGAAACTTAATGAGAAAACTGTGTCCGATAAATACCCGCTACCGAACATTAACGATATACTCGACAAACTTGGAAGATGCATGTATTTTTTTACATTAGATTTAGCTAGCGGATTCCACCAAATAGAAATGAATGAAGCAGATATACCAAAGACAGCGTTTACTGTAGACGGTGGTCATTATGAGTTTGTCCGCATGCCGTTCGGCCTTAAAAATGCACCGGCAACATTCCAAAGAGTTATGGATTATGTTTTAGGTGATTTAATAGGAAATACATGCTTAGTTTACTTGGACGATATTATAATTTTTTCATCCTCATTGCAAGAACATATATTATGCTTAAAAAAAGTTTTTGACAGATTGCGTAATTCAAATTTTAAAGTTCAATTGCGCAAGTCAGACTTTTTAAAAAAAGAAATTGCTTTTTTAGGGCACATCGTGACGACAAACGGGATTAGGCCCAACCCAAATAAAATACAAGCCAT